AAAAAAAAAGGAGTGATGAATGAAGTTTACGGACAATAAAGACACTTATTCCAAGTGGGTTTTAGAAAAATTCCTTTTTCTTTATACGAGGAAAAAGGAAAATATATTAACTAAAGAAAAATATTGCTTTGTAAAAAATTGAAAGTTAAAAAAAAAAAATTCGTGATTTTTTTTTTGGGGAAAAAAGAAGAAAATTCGTGATTTTTTTTTTTGGGAAAAAAGAAGAAAAATAAAATTCCACTATTCGAAGTGGTGAGAGAAAGAGCGAGTCTGAGAGATTTAAGTTTCAACAAGTTCGTAAGAGTAAAAGGCCGTCGCTCTCGCAGTCTCTCAATTCTGCAGTTTCAACAAACACACAAACCACCCTCTCCCCCCCCCCCTCCTCTGTATAACCACACAGGCGCGGACGACCTCATGAATGGACCCTCATTCAAAAAAAGAAAGTCCACTCTAGTTTACACTCACACATATATATATATATATATATATGTATGTGTGTGTGTATGTATAGGAGTGTCCAACGAGTGGAGCATCCTCGGAACCACTCGGAACATTGCGACGCGTTCCAAGTCTTTTTTCGGGAATGGCTCTCATCCCCCTTCTAAAAAGGGGGGAGACTAAAATCTTCCTCTCATATATATATATATATATATAGCTGCGAATCGATTTTGCGGCATATTCGATGACACTCGGCACATTTCGGTCTTCATCGTTGCTTTCAAAACTAGTTGGATTTGGAAAGTACTCGCCTGGTCCTCATCATTATAACCACACTCCAGTTTTTTTTTTCTCCTTTTTTCTTTGCCAGTAATCAATTAGCAAAACCAATAAGTAAAATTATCTCATACTATATATATTTGAATTTATTCAAAAAAAAACAACATTCCCCAGAATAAAAAATTTAATTAGTTAAAAAAAAATTCAGGAAAATAGAATTTTTTTTTTTGACAGGAAAAAAAATTTATTAATAATTCATAAAATATGATATTCTTTTTATCTGTAAAAATCATATAAAGGAAGTAACTTTTTTTTTTTTTTTTTTTTGATTAAAATGTAACGTTAAAAATAAATTTTTGCCAAGCATATATATATAATTTTCAAAGTTACTAAAGTTTTATTAGAACCTTTTTTGCAAAGAGAATTCAACATGAAATTTCATATAAAAATTCATGAAAACTCCTTTAAGGAAAAGAGATGAAAACGGTATGGAGTATAAAAAGAAATTCGTTTTATTTCTTGACTATATTAACAACTGGTAGGATTTTCAATTAATTTATAAATATTTTCACGAAAAAAAAAACCGAAATGCGAATTTTTTTTTTTTTTTGATTTTCAAAAAAAAAATTAAGACGGCGATTTTTTTTTTTGAAATTTTTGAATATTATAATTTTGCTCTAAACTTGGGAAATGAAAATAACTTTATCTATATATAGTCAATTTAATTAGAAATGGTTGTTAAATTTAATTTGTTTGAATTAGTCAATCTGATTTTAGTTTTAGAGGGAGTTAATTGACGATTAAATAATGGATTTCATAAAATTTAACCTTAGTTTTGGGCGATGTAATAAAATATAATGAATATAATTTCACTTTACATTTTCGATATATTATATATATATATATATAACTTTGAGGTATCTATATCTATAAAATGAAAATTACTAAAAAAAAATTAATTAATAAAAAATATTTTTAAAAAAATATTAATTATCAAATAAAATATTGACTGTACTGATAAAATAATTAAAATTTAACAAAATTAAACATTTTTTAGTACTACCATTATTAAAATTCTCGACATTATGTCCAACTAAAATCGATTTATACTACTGATGAAATTACAAAAGCTTAACAAGTCTGATTAAAGATTAAATATTTACTTTTATTACTGATAAAGTTATAAAAATTAGTGTGACTTAATATTTACTTGTACTACTGACGAAAAACTGAAAAAAAAATTATAAAAATTAAAGGCTGACTAACTATTTACCTGTATTACTGATAAAGTTATAAAAATTAGTGTGACTAAATATTTACTCGTACTACTGATAATGTTATAAAAATTAAAATCTAACTAAATATTTACTCGTACTACTGACGATAAACTGAAAAAAAATTAAAAAACTTAAAGTCTGACTAAATATTTACTTGTACTACTTACAAAAATTACCAAAAATTAATCTGACTGAATATTTATTTGTGGTACTGATAAATTTATAAAAATTAGTCTTTCTAAATATTTATTTGTACTACTGACGATAAACTGGAAAAAAAATTAAAGTCTGACTAAATATATACATGTACTACTTAAAAAATTATCAAAAATTAATCTAAACTGAATATTTACTTGTACTATTGTTAAATTTATAAAAAAAATAGTCTTTCTAAATATTTATTTGCACTACTGACGAAAATAACAAAAATTTGAAACGTCTGACTAAATATTGATTTGTACTACTGAAAAAAGTACAAAAATTATTTTGAATAAATATTTACTTGCACAACTAATAATGATATTAAAATTATTCCGGCTAAATATTTACTTGTACTACTGACGAAAAACTAATAATGTTATTAAAATTAGTCTGACTAAATATTTACTTGTACTACTGACGAAAAACTGAAAAAAAAATTATAAAAATTAAAGGCTGACTAACTATTTACCTGTATTACTGATAAAGTTATGAAAATTAGTTTGACTAAATATTTACTCGTACTACTGATAATGTTATAAAAATTAAAATCTGACTAAAAATTTACTTGTACTACTGACGATAAACTGAGAAAAAATAAAAAAAAATAAAGTCTGACTAAATATTTACATGTACTACTTAAAAAATTACCAAAAATTAATCTGACTGAATATTTACTTGTACTATTGTTAAATTTATGAAAAATTAGTCTTCTTAAATATTTATTTGCACTACTGACGAAAATAACAAAAATTTGAAACGTCTGACTAAATATTGATTTGTACTACTAAAAAAAATTACAAAAATTATTTTGAATAAATATTTATACTTGCACAACTAATAATGATATCAAAATTATTCCGACTAAATACTTACTTGTACTACTGACGAAAAACTGATAAATTTATAAAAATTAGTCTGACTAAATATTTACTCATACTACTTATAAAATTACAAAAATGAATCTGACTTCATATGTACTTGTACCGCATTGATAAAGTTATAGAAATTAAAGTCCGACTAATTATTTACATTCACCACTAATTAAGTTATAAACATTAAAGTCTGACCAAATATTGACTTGTACTACTGATAATAAATAATATTAATAATAAAGTCAATGACAATTTGATGTTTCTTTATATAGTAATTGATATAATTTTTTTTTGTTATTCTTATTTTTTATTTTTCTGTTTCTCTAATTTGTTGTTATTTTTGTACCATTTTTTTTGTATCTTTTAAATTTTAATTCTTTTTTTTTTAAATATAATTATCGCTAATTAGTTTTCTTTATTTAAAAAATTTTTTTTTGTTAATTTTCGTTATTATTTTTATTTTTATTTTATAAAATGAAACGATTTCTCCAAAAATTCGCCTCGATATGAATTTTTTTTAAATATCCATTAAATCAAAAATAAAAGAAATTTTGCAAAGTTAATTTGTGAATCTTAGAAATATTTCCGCACGCTTATAATTCAGTTAAATATGCAAATTCCACATAAATATTACAAGCGCGAAGACAAAAGCTTAAAAGGGGGGAGGGGGGTTGTGAGAGGGGGAAGGGGGAAGGCAAATTCAAATTGGTGAATTTTAGAGATGGAATTGTTGGAGAAACGCGCACGATGAGTCCCGGGGGAGGAGAGAGAGAGAGAGAGAGATGGGGGGGATCGTAACTCCTGCAATAGAGGGGAGGTCTTGAGGTCGTAGGTCACGACCGCATTGCGGAATGCGAGAGCGGGCATCCCGTCTTTATCTGGAGAGATGGTAGTACACGAAAGATGAAAATCCGCACACAGGATACGAATATAAAAGTGAGTCAAAAAAAGGAATGAAGAGAACAAGAGAAAAGTAGTTTTTGGCATATATAAAGAACAATGATTCTACTCAGAAGGGCCTAGAAAACTTTCAAATCCCCCTCCCCCATCACAATCCCATATACAATATACCCTCAAGGTAGAGAAATATATATATATATATATATATATATAGCTGCGTATTCATTGCTTAGTGAGCTTTCAAGTTTAGTTCTCCTTTGGAACTCTCAAAAACTGATCGCGAGGTAAGCCTCGCAAACTGATAATGACTAACACAGAGAAAGAGAGAGGAGAAAAAAAAACGACAAAGAAAAAGTCTCGAAAAGAGAATCCAATCAGAAGTTGAGTTGAAGTATGTACCCGATCCAACTGGAGAAAGTGGCTTTAAGGGGATTTCTCGCGCTTGTAATCTCCTCGACTAGTACGACGAGTAACTAAGATTTTAACTGCGCCGTAGAAAATGCGGCTTCGAGAGCTATTTGATCAGAGTCAATGGAAATGCCTCATTGCCTTTGCAGAAGAAAAAAAAAACAAGTTGTAAATTCAGATGTTCATTATATGAACATTTTGCTTCCCACTTTACGATCAGCAAAAAAAATTTGCTTCCTCGTGGAGAAAGAATTAACATTAAACTAAACATACAAAAATAATATAATAATAATAATATAAACATTTAAAAACCTACAGATTTGAGTTAAATTTTTTAGAATTAATGACAGTTAAAAAATCAAAAATTCACATTTTAGCTGAAATTTGTCAAAAATAAATCAAAATTAATATAAAATTTAAATTTAATTTGAAAACTTGAATTTAAATAAATACAAAATTTTTCAGCTAAAATGGGAATTTTTTTTTTAACTTTCATTAATTTATTAAATATACCTCAAATGTATACTTTATATATACCAAACGATTCGTTTTCATGCAAGAAATACAATTATTTCATATATAAACGATAAATCTTTTTTTTGGCATTTTTTTAAATCCTTTGGTCAGATTTGAGCTATTAATATGATAAATCTGCCTACCAAATTTTATTTAAATCAATTAAAAACCTTTAAATCACTTCCGTCATAGAAAAATAGACAAAAAATTCAAATTTTCTTACGCAGACTATTTTATTTCAATTTCTTGCACAAAATACACCTAAAAGTGTAGAAAAAAATTGACAGCCCGATCCGAGTAGAGGAACACCAATTTTATGACCATTAAAGCGATTTTCGTCAAAAAAAAATTTTCAAAATAATTCAATTTTTCTTAGGCGGACTATTTTACTGCAATTTCTTGCACAAAATACACCTAAAAGTGTAGGAAAAAATCGACAGCCAAATCCGAGTAGAGGAAGACACCTATTACCACCAAAAAGTCATCCAACCCATAAATCCAAAAAAATAAAAAAGTTGCCAAAAAAATTCAATTTTTCTTAGGCGGACTATTTTATTGCAATTTCTTGCACAAAATACACTTAAAAGTGTAGAAAAAAATTGACAGCCCGATCCGAGTAGAGGAACACCAATTTTATGACCATTAAAGCGATTTTCGTCAAAAAAAAATTTTCAAAATAATTCAATTTTTCTTAGGCGGACTATTTTATTGCAATTTCTTGCACAAAATACACCTAAAAGTGTAGAAAAAAATCGACAGCCAAATCCGAGTAGAGGAAGACACCTATTACCACCAAAAAGTCATCCAACCCATAAATCCAAAAAAATAAAAAAGTTCCCAAAAAAATTCAATTTTTCTTAGGCGGACTATTTTATTGCAATTTCTTGCACAAAATACACCTAAAAGTGTAGAAAAAAATCGACAGCCAAATCCGAGTAGAGGAAGACACCTATTACCACCAAAAAGTCATCCAACCCATAAATCCAAAAAAATAAAAAAGTTCCCAAAAAAATTCAATTTTTCTTAGGCGGACTATTTTATTGCAATTTCTTGCACAAAATACACCTAAAAGTGTAGAAAAAAATCGACAGCCAAATCCGAGTAGAGGAAGACACCTATTACCACCAAAAAGTCATCCAACCCATAAATCCAAAAAAATAAAAAAGTTCCCAAAAAAATTCAATTTTTCTTAGGCGGACTATTTTACTGCAATTTCTTGCACAAAATACACCTAAAAGTGTAGAAAAAAATCGACAGCCAAATCCGAGTAGAGGAACACCAATTTTATGACCATTAAAGCGATTTTCGTCAAAAAAAAATTTTCAAAATAATTCAATTTTTCTTAGGCGGACTATTTTACTGCAATTTCTTGCACAAAATACACCTAAAAGTGTAGAAAAAAATCGACAGCCAAATCCGAGTAGAGGAAGACACCTATTACCACCAAAAAGTCATCCAACCCATAAATCCAAAAAAATAAAAAAGTTCCCAAAAAAATTCAATTTTTCTTAGGCGGACTATTTTATTGCAATTTCTTGCACAAAATACACCTAAAAGTGTAGAAAAAAATCGACAGCCAAATCCGAGTAGAGGAAGACACCTATTACCACCAAAAAGTCATCCGACCCATAAATCCAAAAAAATGAAAAAGTTCCCAAAAAAATTCAATTTTTCTTAGGCGGACTATTTTACTGCAATTTCTTGCACAAAATACACCTAAAAGTGTAGAAAAAAATCGACAGCCAAATCCGAGTAGAGGAACACCAATTTTATGACCATTAAAGCGATTTTCGTCAAAAAAAAATTTTCAAAATAATTCAATTTTTCTTAGGCGGACTATTTTACTGCAATTTCTTGCACAAAATACACCTAAAAGTGTAGAAAAAAATCGACAGCCAAATCCGAGTAGAGGAAGACACCTATTACCACCAAAAAGTCATCCAACCCATAAATCCAAAAAAATAAAAAAGTTCCCAAAAAAATTCAATTTTTCTTAGGCGGACTATTTTATTGCAATTTCTTGCACAAAATACACCTAAAAGTGTAGAAAAAAATCGACAGCCAAATCCGAGTAGAGGAAGACACCTATTACCACCAAAAAGTCATCCAACCCATAAATCCAAAAAAATAAAAAAGTTCCCAAAAAAATTCAATTTTTCTTAGGCGGACTATTTTATTGCAATTTCTTGCACAAAATACACCTAGAAGTGTAGAAAAAAATCGACAGCCAAATCCGAGTAGAGGAAGACACCTATTACCACCAAAAAGTCATCCGACCCATAAATCCAAAAAAATGAAAAAGTTCCCAAAAAAATTCAATTTTTCTTAGGCGGACTATTTTACTGCAATTTCTTGCACAAAATACACCTAAAAATGTAGAAAAAAATCGACAGCCAAATCCGAGTAGAGGAACACCAATTTTATGACCATTAAAGCGATTTTCGTCAAAAAAAAATTTTCAAAATAATTCAATTTTTCTTAGGCGGACTATTTTACTGCAATTTCTTGCACAAAATACACCTAAAAGTGTAGAAAAAAATCGACAGCCAAATCCGAGTAGAGGAAGACACCTATTACCACCAAAAAGTCATCCAACCCATAAATCCAAAAAAATAAAAAAGTTCCCAAAAAAATTCAATTTTTCTTAGGCGGACTATTTTATTGCAATTTCTTGCACAAAATACACCTAAAAGTGTAGAAAAAAATCGACAGCCAAATCCGAGTAGAGGAAGACACCTATTACCACCAAAAAGTCATCCAACCCATAAATCCAAAAAAATAAAAAAGTTCCCAAAAAAATTCAATTTTTCTTAGGCGGACTATTTTATTGCAATTTCTTGCACAAAATACACCTAAAAGTGTAGAAAAAAATCGACAGCCAAATCCGAGTAGAGGAAGACACCTATTACCACCAAAAAGTCATCCGACCCATAAATCCAAAAAAATGAAAAAGTTCCCAAAAAAATTCAATTTTTCTTAGGCGGACTATTTTACTGCATTTTCTTGCACAAAATACACCTAAAAGTGTAGAAAAAAATCGACAGCCAAATCCGAGTAGAGGAAGACACCTATTACCACCAAAAAGTCATCCAACCCATAAATCCAAAAAAATAAAAAAGTTCCCAAAAAAATTCAATTTTTCTTAGGCGGACTATTTTATTGCAATTTCTTGCACAAAATACACCTAAAAGTGTAGAAAAAAATCGACAGCCAAATCCGAGTAGAGGAAGACACCTATTACCACCAAAAAGTCATCCGACCCATAAATCCAAAAAAATGAAAAAGTTCCCAAAAAAATTCAATTTTTCTTAGGCGGACTATTTTACTGCAATTTCTTGCACAAAATACACCTAAAAGTGTAGAAAAAAATCGACAGCCAAATCCGAGTAGAGGAACACCAATTTTATGACCATTAAAGCGATTTTCGTCAAAAAAAAATTTTCAAAATAATTCAATTTTTCTTAGGCGGACTATTTTACTGCAATTTCTTGCACAAAATACACCTAAAAGTGTAGAAAAAAATCGACAGCCAAATCCGAGTAGAGGAAGACACCTATTACCACCAAAAAGTCATCCAACCCATAAATCCAAAAAAATAAAAAAGTTCCCAAAAAAATTCAATTTTTCTTAGGCGGACTATTTTATTGCAATTTCTTGCACAAAATACACCTAAAAGTGTAGAAAAAAATCGACAGCCAAATCCGAGTAGAGGAAGACACCTATTACCACCAAAAAGTCATCCGACCCATAAATCCAAAAAAATGAAAAAGTTCCCAAAAAAATTCAATTTTTCTTAGGCGGACTATTTTATTGCAATTTCTTGCACAAAATACACTTAAAAGTGTAGAAAAAAATTGACAGCCCGATCCGAGTAGAGGAACACCAATTTTATGACCATTAAAGCGATTTTCGTCAAAAAAAAATTTGTCTTTCTCACTCTTTAAAGTTTATTTGAAAAAAAATGGTGGTGATTAATTTTTCTTCTCAATATTTTCAATCACTATATTATTGTATTTATAATAAATTGTAGATATTTACAAAAATTGAAAATAATTTTGTTTACAAAATTAATTTGTTTTCATATTTAATTAAGATAAATTATTATCAAAAAGAAAAGAAAGAGAAAGAAGGACAGAGACGCTTGTTTACCCAGCTCTGTCACGCGGTTATTTTCTCTTTTCCTGATTGGTGAAAAATTCAAAATTATCCTATCGCATCTAATTTTCTTACGACCACGTGATATCAAATTTATTTAATTCTTCATCAATTTTCTAGAGGCGGAGCCATTTCAGTGTCACGTTCGAAGACCACGTGTTTGTAAATTCATTTAATTTCAAAATTTTAATTTTTACCATTCAATTTTTAGCTTTCGCGGAGTGCTTTCGTATTTTTTAAGCACGCGATCGAGTGACATGTAGGGTTTTAATTTTTTTTTTTGAATTTTCTTTTTTGTGATAAAAAATAAATTTTTAACAAATTTTCTTTTTTTTGTGATAAATTTTTGTAATATCGGGAGAGTGTTCGCAATATTGAAAACCGCGATCGTATGTAAAAAAAAGAAAAGTTTTTTTTTCCAGTTAACACGTGGTTCGGGAGTGGCGAAATTTTTAAAACCGCGTGTGAGTGTTTTTTTTTACCAATTTGGAAAACACCGTTCGAGTGCCGCTCCGGAATGGAGATCGGGCATTGGCGAAGGATGTGTCCACGGTAAGAATTTTTATTTATTAATTAATAATTAAAATATTAATATTTACAACATGAAAAGCAGAATTTTTATTAATAAAGTTAAAAATAAAATTTTCAATTTAATATTAAATATAATAAAAAAAAAAAAAAATGAATAAAAAAAATAAAAAATTTGTTTCTATTTTGTAAATTTTTTTTTTATTTCAGACTGAAGGACAGGAAGGAGGATGCAGAGAAAGCATGGCCCCTGCATAGTTCCCCGGTCTCCCCGCATAGAAGAGGGGCCACTGGGGGACTGGTCCAGAAGAGGCGATGCTGCCATCGCTCCGTCGAGGGAATCCGCGATCGGTGAGTGAAATTTTTCTCCCCTACGAACGTAGCGACACAAACTGAAATATTTAATTTCTCAAATATTAAATTCTATATTTTAGAAATTAATTAACGTAAAATTAATTTTAAATGTATATAAAATTTCTACATTTAAAATTTTGTTATTTATTTCAGATGCGAACATGTTTTAATTTATCCCCCCCCTCCCACCTATTTCTTATTTAATTGATAATACTTTTTATAAAAATTTTTTTTTAATTTAAAATAAATTGTTTCGAAAATTAAATTATTTAAAATTTAAATTAAATTGTTGAAAAATTAAATTATTTTAAAATTTAAATTAAATTGTTTAAAAATTAAATTATTTTTAATTCAAATTAAATTTATTAGATTCATCCCTGTGTGATTTTGTGATTTTTGTGAGCGATTAAACTCAGGTGACGGATGCGTCCCAGGACGTAATCCCTAGTGTAGGTCTTTTTGCACCTGGGTGGTATGTGAGATTGCCATTCGTCAGGTATTCGCGCCCTTTAGCAAACGTTTAGGGAGGTCGATAGTTTTATGAAATGTGGTGTCATTTTTTTTTTTTGAAATATAGGGATAGGTAGGGATTTTTTTTTAATTTTTGGTGTGAACGTTTGTAGTTGGAAAAATTTTGCACGATATAAAAAAAATTTTCTCTTTTTTTTTTGTTAACTTATTGTTAAACTAATGAAAAAAAATAAAATAAAAAAGATTAACGTTGTGTAACCATTTTAAAATAGAAGCATTCATGAAGAAGAAATCGTGCACTAGAAACAAGCTTAAATGGTCAGACGACCATGCGAAAAGGGATATGTTTAACGTGCTGTTGAATGACTGCGATCAAATGCGGCCAAAGCTGCCGGCAGCTGATGCACACAATATATATTCACGTCGCTTTGCATAATCCTTTTTCCATTACACTAACAAGTTTTCAAAACGTTCGACTTTTTGCAAAACAAATCAAATTTATTCTGAATTGATATAAAATTTTTGATATATACAAATAAATTTTCACCTACCATGACATTTATTTAGTTAACAAGTTTTTTTTTCATTAATAAAATTTATTGCTCCCTTTTTTTTTGGAAAAGGATTTTTAGAAAAGGACCATACTATAATATTGAAATATTAAGTGAAAAGTGTTCTTTTTTTTAATATACAAAAAGGCAGTTATGGTATATGGTCAGACGGAATAAAGTTTACGGTATGCATAAAATATTTTTATATTGCACTTCTTTTGTTCTAGGAATCCGAAAGATTGAGAATATTAAATCAAAACATTCTTTCAATTCTCATTTCGTTTATATATATATGTACTTTTTATCTATGTCAATATATAATTACTTTTTTTTCCATTAAATATATTTTTCTTCCCTTGGTTATTTTCTAAATGTTTATCACAAGAAACATTTTACAGTATATATATAAAAACAGTAGACTAAAGTGCATTGGTACATTAACCAACGAATCCCATACAATATATCCGTAAAATGTGTGCGCGCGGCTCTCTTTCAGAAAATGTAATTTAATCATATTCTCCTGACGTATTCTCATTCTTTTCATTCTTCAACCAAAAGTAGATTCTCTTTTTTTTTCCTTTGAAAAAAATTAAATGCTATTACGAAATTAAATTTCTTTTTTTACTTTCTAATATTACGAATGAAAAATAATAATATAAATTTTTTGTATGCTATATTTAATGTTGAAAAAGAAATTAATTGTAGTCTGAATAGAAATTAGAACTCATTGCAGTTGAAAATGAGGATATATTTTTGATGCGTTTCAAATTCCCACCGCTGTCACTATTTTGTACTTTTTTTTTTTAGAAGTTAATATTATAAAGTTTTTAATATAAAATTGTATGAGAATTTCTATTTTCACTTTTCCTTACATAGAATGTAATTTTCTCCGATTTTATTCACTGCCACCTTTCTTCCCATTGCATTTACTTTATCGGTGATTGTCAAGCAGTCACGAAGCTCGTTGAAAGGTATTTCCCCTTTTTTTTTTTTTTTTGTTTTTCCTTTTGTCATCGATCGACTTAAAAAGAAAGACACACGCGCACATTCGAGAAAAGGGTCTCTAGTATATATATATATAATGTACCCTTGGGGGAAAAAAAGGACCAAGATCAATATTACCTTCCTTGCTGACCCCCTTGAACTTTTTGATATTCCTGAATCTTCTCGTAAAAATAAGGGTCCTTTTCCAAAGTTTCAGGTCCATGAACCGCTTATAGGAATGCAAACACTTTATGTATGTAGAGTATATATATATATATATAACCTAGTTATATTATAAATTATTCCCTTCCTAGGAGACATCATTTTAAAGCGTAGTTTGCAATTCCGTAAAGCTTACGAGGTGCAACATTAAAATAATTTATTGTTAAGAAACACGAACACGTTGCCTTATGAAATTTTCCATAAAACATAATTTTCTTATTCTCTTCTTTTTTTTGAGAATCCCTTTATATTTTATATAAATTTTTAAAAATATAAATTATCATTTTTAGAAATTAAAAAGTTTTCTATACCATTTAACAAAAAACATAAATTAATGAAACTTTTTGATTCCCATATAAAAATTAAATTAGTTTTTTTGTCTTTAAAAAAAAAATAATTTATATTTTCCAAATATATATTTTAGTAGAATATATAGGAACGATAAATATTGGGAAAAATAAATTTTTTAATGACATTTTCCAAATTTTATAATTTTCTACACCTCCTGTTGTCAAACTCTAGTATGTGTTTAATGGCAATTTTTCCTCAGTGACAGTTTTTACGATCATATATATATGGTGTAGACTGTATATGAACGCGCCCCACGAAGAAAAGATGTACTAACTTCTTATTAAATTGCTTTAAGGCACATATTATTCGCAGACCACATATTTTTCATATAAGTTTGCAATTTAACCAATAAATGTCAATTTTATATATTTCTTCATTATCTTGTCATACAATGGTGGCTCAATTGAACACTATATGAAAAAAGAATATGTCATCTTTTAAAGTATTAATTTACAATTTTTTGTTTTTTTTTTTTTTTTTTTTTTTTTTTAATTTCACACAGGAAAAAAAATTAAATTTATCAATTCTAGCTTTTAGAAATGTAATCAAAACTTACTAAATTGAAAAAAAATGAAGAAATATTTACTTGAACTAGGGTAAGTGTATGAATTACTGCCTGATGCGCCAATTACTGCGATTTTTATAAAATTAGTAAAACTTAGTATAATTGAGAACATAAAACTGTTTCAAAATGACTTTAAAACTTATTTCAAATGATATTTGAATATCCACTAATTATGCATATTTGGATTATTATCAAATTATTTATTCAAGTTACAATTGAACCTATCACAGTAATTAGAGTATATTTTTCGCATTCTACTATTACTGTGGTCTATCCAGTCAACCTAACCTCTAAATCAACGCGTTGCAGTAATTGGTGCACACCATTTGCAGTAATTCATGCGAACTTGCAGTAATACCAGTATATGCCATTTTTAAAAAAGTTAATATTTTTAATAAATATATTTTTTATTTCTTCAAGTTTAAAGTTCGTTTTTATATTTTAATAGACACTAATAGTAAAAAAAATAAAAAAAATAAAATTTACAATAAATGATTCTTTAGAAATTATGCATACATTTTATGATTGTATATATATCAATAGCAAAATAATTGTGAGACACTAAAATTAAATTTAATTTTCATTGATTATGGTTTAGTGACTATAAATAAATAATAGCGTGTTATTTCAGAAATAATTGTTCATTTATTTGTTATAAAACTTTAACTATCTTCATTTTGAAATAGTGAAATAGAGAGAGACATAGTAGGTAAAATTTATTGATGAGCTAACATTATTTTGCATATACCGAATATATTATTAACATCGTATATATATATATATATATATATATAAAGTATAATATAATTTTTCTATATATATAAAGTATAATACAATTTTTCTATATATGTAAAGTATAATATAATTTTTCTATTGAAGTACAAAGAAACACTGTTAACTTAAAACTATCAAATTTCAACGAATTGATACCCAAAATATCAAATAAAAAATTGATAGAAATTTTGGTCTCAATTTTATTACACTTTGATATCAATTTTGATATACTTTCAAAAAAAATTTATTTGATTCAAATATAATCGATTACTTTGACTATTATCAAAATAAATATTTATTTATGTATCAAATAATTAATATTTGAGTCAATTAAATCGTATTTGTTTCAAATAAAGAAATTATTGGTTCGAATACAATATATTTCATTCAAATAAAAATTATTTGGTTAAAATAAATATTTATATTTATATTTATATTTATATTTACTGATTAAATTATAAAAATGTACAAAAGCCGAACTTAATATTTACTGGTACTACTGATTTTCTAATTTAGTCTTTATGTCTGACTAAAATCAATTTGTACTACTGATAAAAATTATAAAAATTTGGAAAGACGAACTAAACGTTGACTTATACTACTGATATTAGCTGTACTACTACTTCTTTATTATTTATTAATAATGTCTGACTAAAACCGACTTATACCACTCAAAAAATTAAAAAAAAATTGTAAAAACTCAAACTTAATATTTACTTGTACTACTGATTTTCTAATTTAGTCTACATGTCTCACTAAAACAGATTTGTACTACTGAAAAAATTCCAAAAATTTAGGTAGTCTGACTAATTATTTACCTGTACTACTGATTTCCTAATTTATTCATTAAGTCTGACTAATACCGATTTTTACTACTGACAAAATTACAAATAATTTAGAAAGTCAATCTAAATATTAACTTGTACTACTTACTTTCTAATTTAGTCATTATGTCAAATTTTTAATACTAATTTTCAAATTTATTCATTATATGTCTGACTAAAACCTATTTGTACTACTGAAAATTTTCCAAAAATTTAGATAGTCTGACTAATTATTTACTTGTACCACTGATTTTCAAATTTATTCATTATATGTCTGACTAAAACCTATTTGTACTACTGAAAAATTTCCAAAAATTTAGATAGTCGTGACTAATTGTTTACTTGTACTACTGATTTTCTAATTTTAGTCTTCATATCTGACTAAAAGTTATTTGTACTACTGATTTTTTTTAAAAAAATGTAGAAAGTCGATCTAAATATTTACTTGTACTACTGAGTTTCTAATTTAGTCATTATGTCTGACTGAAACAGATGTTTACTACTGATTTTCAAATTCAAGTAAATATTTATTTGATTAATAGTCAAATAATTAATTCATTGTCAACAAACATTGATTTATTTGACACCCCAAGAAATAAATTTACATCTTATCTACGAGAGTTTTTATTAAATAATTATTAATTCTTATGGTCAATGTATATATGTTGTATTTAAAAAAAAGGTTTTTATGCCTGTTTACTTATTAAATAAAATAAATAAATAAATTAAGTATTTGAATCAAATAAATTTTTTTTTCAGTACATATATAGTTACATTTTTTTTTATTTTCTTCTTTTATAAAAATCAAATGATCCTTTTTAAAGTCCTTTTTACAATAATAAACATGCCTAAAGCATAAAAATAATAAAAAAAAGAAGTCTTTTTAAAATTTTCAACTATTTTGGATGTAGTATCTGTGTATATCATAAAATTTGTTGCGTGCGGGAAAGATAAATTTTTCAATGACATTTTCTATCCTCTTTATACAAGCTATCCTCTTCATTTCCTCTCGTCTCCAGTGGGAAGGGTATATACTTGGATTTTGTAACAAATTTTTTTATTACCGTGTATATATATATATATATATATATATATATAGCATCTCTCTCTCTATATATTCCGGCGCGAGCACATTTTGTGACATGGACACGTGACCCCGAAGCGTATCGAATCGAGGATCTTCGCAGAAATTCGGTGAGGTTCGCACGCTCCACTCGGTTCCCGGGCTCAGTGTTGAGCGTGCTGCCTGGACCGCAGGCGCTTTTGACTAGTAGGTCTGTGCTTTTTTTTTAGGGGGCAAAAAGCTTTTTCTGTTTATACGTGTTTCGAAATTATCCCTCTAAATATGTGTCTACTAATTTTTTTTTCTTTTTCTATTAGTTAAATTTTTTCTAATATTTAGTAAGATAATTTATTAATAGAATTTATTAATAAAATTTATTAATAAAATTTATTAATAAAATTTATTAATAAAATTTATTAATTCTATTAATAAATTTTAAATATATTTAATTTTAACTAGTAATAAAATATTTTTAGTATTAAAAAAAAATTGTTGGTAATCATCAGTATTGTGTAAAATCATTATTTTGTATTCTTGTCTAAATTTTGTATTTTTTTCTTCTTTTTTTTTTTTATCTATTATTCTTTTGTTATCTGTCTCTTCTTTTACGGTCCATCTTCCGTTCTCCATCACTTCACTCTTTATCTGACAACTCTCTTTCTAATTGTGTCTTTCTCTTCTCTCTTTTTTTTTAAGCATTCATTTCTATTTTGTATATAAAAGCTGAGTATATTTTACTTTTCCCAAGTTCGTTCATTTTTTTTTTTTTTTATCTGACCTTGTTTCTCTTTTTGAGTTTGCATTTAGTCTCTGTATTGGTTTTCTCGTTAAGGAACATTTTTTTTTACTCTTTCTTGTTTTGTAAACCCCCCACTATTATTTTTTCACTCTCAGTTTTAGCCGGTCGACGTGTCATTAAAATTAGTGCCAATGAAAATATTTGACACTTTTCTTGTTTTCAAAGGAGGGGAAAAATTAATTTAGTTAAGATTTTTTAAATTTGACGGTGAAAAAAAAGGGAACAATAAAGGATAGAAAAAAAAGAGAATGAGGTGGTGATAACGTGGGTGACAAAAAAAAAAGAAAAAAAAAAAGTAGTGAAAAGAGGCGGTAATGATCGTGACAACGGTCGTACGGACAAATGAACACCTCGGCACAGCGTTTGGTTTATTCCAAGTAAGTCGAGCAAATAGAGGAACCAGCTGTACCGTAGTATTAGAATTAGCATATCACACACTGAAACATTGTGAGAATAATGAAGGCTGTTCTCTTGATTGAAAAAAGAAGAAAGAGAATTTAATATTTAATCTTTAATTTAATCGCATTTTAATAAGTATATTTAAATATGACAATTTTTATCAAAAAAAATTCATTTTAAAAACAATACTTTTTAATTATAAAAATTATCAAAATATCAGAACTAAAACTAAATATCAGTTTAAAAAAATATTTAAAAAATTTTTTAATTAAAAAAAACTAAATTAAATTTTTCAATAGTTCTATATTGATTAAAGATTCAAACTCTTCCTCTTTAATTATTACAGCTCGTTATTTCGGATCATTCTGATTCGTTAACTCGACGCGTTCAGTGAGCGAAGATCGATTTTTGAATAACAGTTTTATATATATATATATAGGTACATGAGCAGATAATTGATCCCACGTGTATTTTTCATGCTTTTAATGAATACAGTTGAGAGTAAATATTTGCGTCTTAATTTCTAAAATTTTTTATTGAAAAAAAAAATAAATTTTCCCATTATATTATTATTGTTGTTTTGTTGTAACGTTTGTCTTATTTTCTCTTTAATGACAAACTATGTTTGGGCGGGAAACTCGAGTAAACTCGTCTCAAGACATGGCACACGACAAGTATACAAAGTGTGTATATATATACACATTTCCACGTATCCGACAAACAATATAATTACCATTTCCTTGCACGAACTCTCTATAATTGAGAAATTGTCCAATTAAATTTATTTTTTCTCAATATAAAAAATAGGAAAATTTATAATAAGACGCATATATAAATAATGTGTAAAAAAATAATTTTTATTTTCTATTTGTTTATTACATATTTTTAGATGAAAATCATTAATCTTTAAAAAAAAATTATACTTTTGAGTAATGATTCTTAAAACGATGGAAAACCATTCAAAAATCCATGATATTCCTTCCAGTAGTGCCCATAAAAAGAAACTGAACTCCCCAAGTCTGGAAAGATAAATCTCTAGATCTGCAAAAAAAGAGTTTCAGATTCTTACATATTACAGTATATATACATATATACGTTTCCACATACAGGTGTTACTAAGTACCAAATTTATATAAAGTTGATGTCATAAATACTAAAGTGTTGGTTGATTTACTGATACAATTTATGATAAACGATTTCAACGTTACTCTACAATAAATAATATATTTTTTCAAGAAAAAAAAAATTTATCCTATTTTTTACTGGAAAAATAATCAAATATTAAATTTATTAAATAGGGAAATGAGTGGACCATTTAAATTTTTCATACAAAAAATGTACAAAGTCGAACAAAATAGTTATTTGTACTACTGATTTTCTAATTTAGTCTTTATGTCTGACTAAAACAGATTTTTACTACTGATTTTAAAATTTATTCATTATGTCTGACTAAAATCAATTTGTACTACTGAGAAAAATTATAAAAATTTGGAAAGACGAACTAAACGTTGACTTATACTACTGATATTAGCTGTACTATTCTTTCTTTATTATTTATTCATAATGTGTGACTAAAACCGACTTATACCACTTAAAAAATTAGAAAAATGTAAAAAGTCAAACTAAATATTTACTTGTACTACTGATTTTCTAATTTATTCATTAAGTTCGACTAATACCGATTTTTACTACTGATTTTTTTTAAATGTATAAAGGCAATCTAAATATTTACTTGTACTACTTACTTTCTAATTTAGTCATTATTTCAAATTTTTACTACTGATTTTCAAATTTATTTATTATGTCTGACTAAAACCTATTTGTACTACTGATTTTTTTTAAATGTAGAAAGGCGATCTAAATATTTATTTATACTACTGATTAAATTATAAAAGTGTACAATAGCCGAACTTAATATTTACACAGAAAATTAAAAGGCATTAAAATAAGCTGAAACGCTTCTTATTTTAATCCAATTTTGGTTATTTTAATAACAAAATGGATTAAAATAAGCAAAATTGGATTAAAATAAGAAGCGTTGCAGCTTATTTCAATGCCTTTTAATTTTCTGTGTACTGGTACTACTAATTTTCAAATTTATTAATTATATGGCTGACTAAAACAGATTTGTACTACTAAAGAAATTTCCAAAAATTTAGATAGTCTGACTAATTATTTACTTGTACTACTTATTTTCTAATTTATTCATTAAGTCTGACTAAAATCAATTTCTACTACTGATAAAAATTATAAAATTTAGAAAGACGAACTAAACGTTGACTTATACTACTGATATTAGCTGTACTATTCTTTCTTTATTATTTATTCATAATGTCTGACTAAAACCGACTTATACTACTTAAAAAATTTTAAAAATATAAAAAGTCAAACTAAATATTTACTTGTACTACTGATTTTCTTATTTTAGTCTTCATATCTGACTAAAACTTATTTGTACTACTGATTTTTGAAAAAAAATTGTAGAAAGGCGATTTAAATATTTACTTGTACTACTGAGTTTCTAATTTAGTCATTACGTCTGACTAATACAGATGTTTACTACTGATTTTCAAATTTATTCATTATGTCTGACTAAAATCTGTTTGTACTACTGTTTTTTTTAAATGTAGAAAGGCGATCTAAATATTTATTTTTACTACTAATTAAATTATAAAAAAGTACAATAGCCGAACTTAATATTTACTGGTACTACTAATTTTCAAATTTATTAATTATATGGCTGACTAAAACAGATTTGTACTACTGAAAAAATTTCCAAAAATTTAGATAGTCTAACTAATTATTTACTTGCACTGCTGATTTTCTAATTAATTCATTAAGTCTGACTAAAATCAGTTTATACTACTGATAAAATTTATAAAAATTCGGAACGACGAACTAAACGTTGACTTATACTACTGATATTAGCTGTACTATTCTTTCTTTATTATTTATTAATAATGTCTGACTAAAACCGACTTATACTACTTAAAATATTTAAAAAATTTAAAAAGTCGAACGAAATATTTACTTGTACTTCTGATTTTTTTAATTTAAAAATTTTAATTTGTTTAACTATAAAACAGATTTGCACTACTGATTTTCTAATTTATTTTATTAAGTCTGACTAAAATCAATTTCTACTACTGATTAAAATTATAAAAATTTAGAAAGACGAACTAAACACTGACTTATACTACTGATATTAGCTGTACTATTCTTTCTTTATTATTTGTTCATAATGACTGACTAAAACCGACTTATACCACTTAAAAAATTAGAAAAATGTAAAATGTCAAACTAAATATTTACTTGTACTACTGATTTTCTAATTTATTCATTATTTCTGACTGAAACAGATGTTTACTACTGAAAAAATTTCCAAAAATTTAGATAGTCTGACTAATTATTTACTTGCACTACTGATTTTCTAATTTATTTTATTATGTCCGACTAAAACTGATTTTTACTACTGATAAAATTACAAAAAAAATTTCAAAAACAAACTAAATATTCACTTGTACTACTTGCCAATAATCCCTATATAAACGAATAGAAAAAAAATTTAACCAGTTTAAAAAAGTTTTATTTTTTATTTTACTTTTTAAAAGTTTTATAGTGACATTTAAGCATTAAAATTTGCATAATCTTAACTTTTGTCAGGAAAAACCGCACGCCATGTCACGTATACAAAAAAAAGGTGTAAAAAAAAAAAATTCTAAATCCTATTTTAACCTTTCATCATTAAACTCACCTTGAGAAAAATTTTCCAGAAGACATTTTTAAATATGAATGCTTTCTTGGTGTAATTAAAAAAGTTTTATCGTTATACAAAAATCTTGGTTACTTTTTTAAAAAAAAAAAATTTCCTTGGAGATTGTTCTTCTTTTTATATTAAATTTATATATATACTTTTCATTCAAAGTTGAAAATTGAATTTTAAAAAGTAAATAAATATTTTTTTTTTATTTTGAAAATGAAATTTGAATTTCAAAATTTCTGTATTGTAATAAATCTAATAATAACTGAGATTTGAATCTTAATTCCAATACTTGAGATTCACATTATCCCCTAAGAGAATAGAATTTCGAAGTAGTCCCAAGTGGATTTTCTGGCGCATGAATATTCTTTGGGTCATGTTTGCAAGGAAACCTGAGTAACCAAAACGTGTTAATACCCCCAAACCAGAAATTGGCAACCAACCAATCATTATATTCAACTACGTGTAAGAGTTGAGTGATTGGCTCCCCTTGCATTCATCCTGTTGCGTTTCCACAACACTATAGATAATAATAATAATAATAGTAGTAGTAGTAATAGTAGTGGTAGTGGTAGTTGCTCGGTTAACTATCCCTCTTGGCCTAGTTTCTCCAAAGTTCCCGCGATAACTATCCATTCAAAACATTCACGATCTTTGTCTTTGAAAAATAAAACTTGGATCTTGAAAATTTACGACGTGAATATTTCATTAAAATGAATTTTTTTGAAATTCTTCATTAGACTTATTAAAAGTTCATCTTTCTTTTTTGCAATTAAAAAAAAAAAAAAGAGAACCTATTCCTTTGAAATGTTGTTGAAAAGCTAATCACTCAATGGCAGAGATGTACTTCCATTAATGATCCACACAAGTCCACATTGAAATTATTTGACGTTCCCAACATTGGATATACATTGGCTCCATTGGATCATACGAGAATCCATTTAGACCTAATTTTGGTTTAACACGAAACCTATGCAAATTTACCTAAGTTACACGTGGATCTGAATGAACTTGACTCAATTTAATGCCTTTAAATACAAATGTGTAATATATCGAAATTCGGTGACACATGATTATTTCATAAAAATTACAAATTTTCATTTTAAATTATATATATAATAATTTTTTCCTCAAAATTTTCATTTTTCGAATTTGACTTCAATATATAGAATTTATTTTAATACGAATTTTTTACTTTGAATAATTTTTAACTAAATTTTTATTTGGTAAATTTTTTTTATTTTACATAATTTCAATTTTTTTTTTAATAAGAATTCTAATTTAACTGAATTTTCAATTTTGACAAATTCTCATTTAATAGAATTTCAAGTGCTTCAAAATTTTTAAATGATGGAATTTTCTCAAATTTTTATTTGTCTAAATTTTAAATTTTCTAAATTTTCATTTGTACGAATTTTTGTACTTTTTCTTTGAAACATCGTTTTTTTTTTAGTAATTTATAGCTCATTTCGAAGACGTATAATCAATATAGGAGAAAAAAAACAAAGATATATAAATTCACCTCCCGGGGCTATTTACTTTTTTTTTTTTTTTTGGTTCCTTCCTCAGTTAGAATTTTTAGATAAGAAATAATCGACGAAGAAGTAATTTACGATGAATTAGAAATTTTGAGATTAGTGTGGAAACCATTCTGAAAAGATAAGTCGCAACTAAAACTGTTCTACTGTGCAAAGATTAAAAGAGTCGAATTTCAAATGTAACACATTGACTCACTTTATTTATTTTACTTTAAAAAAAAATATATATATATATATATATTTTTTAAATTTTATTACATTTGTCAGTATATAGTAAGAGTAAATTATTCATTAGATTTTCTGCAATGTTTGTAAAATTTGGCAGTAGTACAAGTAATTGTTTAGTCAGAATTCAGATTTTAATTTTTTTCAGTAGTACATGTCAATTTTAGTCAGACATAATATCTTAAAATTAGAAAATTAATAATAAAAAAATATTTAGTTGGACTTTTACATTTTTTGTAATTTTTTAGTAGTACAAATTTGTTTCAGTCAGACATGAAGACTAAATTAGAAAATCAGTAGTACAAATAAATATTCAGTTCGGCTTTTGTGCATTTTTATAATTTAATCAGTAGTATAAATAAATATTTCGATCGCTTTTCTACATTAAAAAAAAACCAGTAGTACAAATAAGTTTTAGTCAGATATGAAGACTAAAATTAGAAAATCAGTAGTACAAGTAAATATTTAGTTTGACTTTTTACATTTTTCTAATTTTTTAAGTAGTATAAGTCGGTTTTAGTCAGACATTATGAATAAATAATAAAGAAAGAATAGTACAACTAATATCAGTAGTATATGTCAACGTTTAGTTCGTCTTTCTGTATTTTTATAATTTTTATTAGTAGTACAAATTGATTTTAGTCAGACATAATGAATAAATTTGAAAATCAGTAGTACAAGTAAATAATTAGTCAGATTATCTAAATTTTTGAAAATTTTTCAGTAGTACAAATAGGTTTTAGTCAGACATATAATGAATAAATTTGAAAATTAGTAGTAAAAATTTGACATAATGACTAAATTAGAAAGTAAGTTGTACAAGTTAATATTTGGATTGACTTTCTAAATTATTTGTAATTTTGTCAGTAGTAAAAATCGGTATTAGTCAGACATAATGAATAAATTTTAAAAGCAGTAGTAAAAATCTGTTTTAGTCAGACTTAGGGGTCGTCCATAAATTACGTAAGACTTTCTTCTGGTCATTTGAACCCCCTCCCCCCCTATGTAAGAATTTTTACATGCATTAGCGCCATTTTTCCTATTGGTCGTAAGAAATACTTGACCCCCCTCCCCCCCAAAAGTCTTACGTAATTTATGGAGGGCCCCTTAATGACTAAATTAGAAAATCAGTAGTACAAGTAAATATTTATATCGCCTTTCTTCATTTTTAAAAAAATCAGTAGTACAATTAGGTTTTAGTCAGACATTATGAATAAATTTGGAAATCAGTAGTAAAAATCGGTTTTAGTCAGACATTATGAATAAATTTGAAAATCAGTAGTAAAAATCGGTTTTAGTCAGACATAATGACTAAATTAGAAAATCAGTAGTACAAGTAAATATTTAGTTCGACTTTCTACATTTTTCTGATTTTTTTCCAGTATTATAAGTCCTATTTAGTCAGACATATTTATTGTTTATTAATTATGAAAAATTATCGTCAATTTTTGAGACAAATTAATTCATTTTATTAATTACTGAAGTGTATGTATGTGTGTGTATATATATGTGTGTGACTGGAGCAAAAAAAAAATTTTGCAGGTTTATAGCATATCCAATAAATCTTATTTGCCAGTTCAGCAAAAAAAAAAAAAAAAAAAAATTGCTGTCACAGCAATACTTTTCTTCTCTTGTGATACTTCTGTTTTTAAAAACTTAAAGTCCCTAGGATAAATTAAATCTAGTTTTTCTTACTTTATATCGAAATGGTTAAATTTTTTGCTAGGCTTCTCTTCACGTTGATTAACGCTCGTTTTTCTTCAAGCCAGTCTTACCTATACTGGACCTTTCCACTTAAGCCAAAGTTTGAAACTTCTCTCTCTCTCTCTCTCTCTCTCTCTCTCTTTAAAGTGGATTGTGTCGTTTAATACTTATATCCAGACTTGGACTCGAAAAGAAAATTGGCCAATTCACTATCGCTCCTAATGGTAAAGTGCCCAGTTTACTGTTGACTAATGGCAGATTGGCGAATTGTACATTCATCTAATAGTTTTTTTTTTTTTTTTTATTTATCTTATCAAAGTTTTAAATCCTTTCTTGACTTTTTTAGAAAATAATGTTTTAAAAATTTACAATAATTTTCAAATAATTTTAAATAAAATAATCAGGATCAGCATCACTCTCTATACGCTTCAAGTTTTATCGAAATATTTTTTTATTCTCTTGTGAATTGCTCTACTGAATTGACTCCTCGTGTCGTAAAATACTTATGACTAGCGAAAAAAAAAAAAAAAAAAAAAAAATTGCACAGACCACTATATTCTCCTTTGCAGATTAAACTGGATTTATAGCATTTTCCTTTAAAACTCAAGAGGTTTAGACTCTTACTACTTACCATAATTTTAATATTAAACTATTTATGTGTCTTAGTTACGTTTTTCTTATACTCTTCTTTTTTTTAATATATCCCAACTTTTTTTTTTTACCCTCCGATAAAAAGAAGCATCAGATTCTTATATAGAAAAAGTAGTATTTGTTGCAAAAAAAAAAAAAGAAAAAAAAAATTGTGATTGAAAATTTTGAAAATAAACAAAAATTATTTTTAATTTTAATAACTAGAATTGCAAATAGAATCGTGTGCGACACAGAAGGCGGACGTCAAGCATAAAGTGACCTAATTTCAAGAGTTCAGTTATCTGAATATTCATAAGATTACGAAGCCAAATACTTCAATTTCGGAAATACTACTTCCGAGGACTAATTTTAAAAACTTTTTTTTTTTTTTTTTTTTTTTCATTTCAACAAGTTTAAAAAATAAAAATGTTAGAATGTAAAAATAAATTTTTAATTAAATATCTATAAAATTATTTTCAAAAATGTTAAAATTTTCCGTTCGCCTAAAAAAAAAAAAAGAGCTCTTGTTTATATTCAAATGACATATTGTCACTAGAGAGAAATTTTCCAGTGTGTGTACTATCAAGAAAAATTAGTAAAAGCTTTCACAATTTTTTTTCACAGGGAGCTTTTAATATAATACTAGAGAAACAAGGAAATTCAATTTATTTTTTATATTCCACTATCGACAAACCATCCCGGGAGTTAAAAGTATACAACTAAAGCTAACTCTCTCTCTCACACATACCAAACTAAAATCGTCTCTCTTCCCTCATAGATAAATAAAGCACCCAAAAAAAAAAATCGTGTTGGATAAATTCCCTCTTTCTACATTTACGTTCTATATATATAGACCCATCAGGGGACTTTTCTAATTTGAATGTTTGATGTTTTTGGATCATCTTTTGTTTTTTATTGAACCAAAACGTTACAAGCGAATAGAAAATAAAAATAAGTGCAGTATTATAAATTTTTCTCTTGTTTATTTCCTTTTGTTCTCTTTCCCTCTCTCTCTCTCTCTTTCTCTCTTTCTCTCTATTTATATATACCCGATTCGAACCACTATTTGCAACCTATACTTCTCTCTTTGCCCTTCTATCCTTTTGCCATCAGTCGAACCACCCGATTCGCCACACTGGCTGCTGGTCAGCAAACTAAAGCTCCCTTTCGTGGTCTTTTTGTTTTTATTTTCTTTTAAATTTTATTCACTTCGTTTACACTCTCTCCGCCCAATGCAAATTTTCAAATCGAAATCACCTTTCTCACAAGCGGTGAACTGAAAAAAATAATGCGAGAATAACTTTTTTTCAAAAAAAAAAAAAAAAAGAAAAGAAAGAAAATTTACTGCTACAATTTTTAAATTTTGTGACAATTAAAAGCTATGGTAACGGTTGCTATGGTAACTGTAAAAAAAAAGTCAATATTTATCCACTTGGAAAGATTTCGCGGAAAGTGCCCCCTGAAGGTTCTATCAGAATTCCGCCGGAACTTTCAACGTAATTCCGTTGGAATTCCATTGGAGTTCCAAAGAATTTCCGATGTGATTCCGACGGATTTCCAACGGAATTCCGACGGAATTCCGATTAATTTGTTTTCGAAATTTTTAGAGTCCTAATTCCGTTGGAATTCCGTCAGAATTCCGTCGGAATACCATCGAAAATTCTTTGGAACTCCGATGGAATTCCGACGGAATTACTTTGGAAGTTCCGGCGGAATTCCATCGAACTTCCAAAGAATTTCCAATGGGATTCCGACGGAGTTCCAACGGAATTCTGACGGAATTCCGATTAATTTGTTTTCGAAATTTTTAGAGTCCTAATTCCGTTCGAATTCCGTCAGAATTCCGTCGGAATACCATCGAAAATTCTTTGGAACTCCGATGGAATTCCGACGGAATTACTTTGGAAGTTCCCGCGGAATTCCATTGGACTTCCAAAGAATTTCCAATGGGATTCTGACGGAATTCTGACGGAATTAGGAGTCTAAAAATTTCAAAAAAAAATTAATCGGAACTCTATCGGAAATTCTTTGAAACTCCGATGGAATTCCGACGGAATTACTTTGGAAGTTCCGGCGGAATTCCATCGGACTTCCAAAGAATTTCCAATGGGATTCCGACGGAATTCTGACGGAATTAGGACTCTAAAAATTTCAAAAAAAAATTAATCGGAACTCTATCGGAAATTCTTTGAAACTCCGATGGAATTCCGACGGAATTACTTTGGAAGTTCCGGCGGAATTCTGATAGAACCTCCAGGGGGCATTTTCCGGGGATATCTTTCCATGTTGGTAGTTAGGCTTTAAATTTTTATTTTCTCAGCAGTACGAGTCAATTTTAGTCAGACATAATGAATAAATTAAAAAAATCAGTACTACAAGTAAATATTTAATTCGACTTTCTATATTTTTTTCTAAATTTTGTCAGTATAATTCGGTATTAGTGAGACATAATGCGTATTAAAAAAAAATTAGTAGCAAAATATTTAGTTTGAATTTTAAGTTTATCAGTAGAACAAATCGGTTTTAGTCAGACAGTGAATTAAGAAAAAAAAAGCTCAGTAAAGTTACTACTGTTAGTAGTTACAAATTAATATTTAAATTGTATGAAAAAAAATACAAACTAAATATTTACAAACTCTACTTATTAATATCTATTTAAAAATTATTTAAAAATTTTTTTTTTCCTCTACTCGAATATTATATAAAAAAGATATATTTTCCCAGATAAAAATGTAGCAATTTTTATGCTTGAAAGTTTTTAAATTACACAATAAAGTAATTACATAATATATTTGTTCCAATTCATATAATCCAGTAGGATTTGAAAATTCAAATATAAATTTTGTTACTGGCGCGCGAGAGCTTTTAAAAAGAAATTTGTAATAGTATAAAATTTAAATGGAAAACTATTTTTTACAAAGACACTTTTAACTGAATTTTTGCAATTTAAAGAAAATCATTGTACGGAAATTTTTTCCGAGAAAATTAGCTTCTTACGGTTCATTTAATCATTTTGTATATATTGTATATATATATAGATATAGCTACTTGATTTTTGGTTAGGGAAAAAAAAAAACCAATTTCCAATTGCTAAATTGAGTCTCTTGTAGAATCTCATTCAGCCACTGACTCATCGTTGTAGACGAGTAGCGTTTTGGCGTGAAACTCAAACGTCTTCTTGGTGCATTAGAAGCGTCTAGCAAACCAGTATAGTAGTCTCAAGTGCCATCGAGGATCGTGCCTAACGAGGCCTTCCAAGTTCCCCACTAACTCTGTCTTTAATGAAGTCTGTCAAGTTAAACGCATTCAACCATTTTCGCCTTAAGAAAATTCTCTTCCTTACTTTCCTTAATTTATACACATTATATATATATATATATATATCTATAGAAATATTCCCATAGGACAATTTGATTTTTCTTATTTTTTAATTGAATTTTCAACAAAATCCCTTAGAGAATTTTTTTTTAATATAAAATAGCGAGTAAAAAAAAATAAAAAAAAAGTTTGTTTTTTTCCATAAAATGAGAAATTTTTTTATGATTTTTTTTTTTTTTAATATATAAATCCTGTTTAAAATTAAATACATTGTTATAATATTTCATTTACATGAGAAATAATTCCTCTCTTTAGAATCGTTTAAAACTGTTGATATTTCGAGAATATTTTTGTTATTTTATCCGATATGAAAAACATTTTAATTATCTCTTATTGACTGAAACAATCACTTATATTTCCAGTTGAGTATTTATTAAATAGCCATATATATTTTCAAGTGTGCTCGTTTTTTTGAAAGTGCTTTAACTTTTATTAATTTTTTTTTTCTCTATTAATTAATTTCGATTTTTTTTTTCAATATTTCAATAACAATTACATTTGAAAAATAAATTTTATTTCAAAAAGGTGTAATTTATTTAAAGATATTTTGTTTTAAAGAGTTTAAATATTGATTAAAATTAATGAGAAAATTAGAAGAAGAAAAATAAAAAAAGTCTTGACTAAATATTTACGTTTACTAATGTTTTTAATACTTTATTAATTGACTAACTAAATTCATGTCTGACTAAAACAAATTTGTACTACTGACAAAATTACAAAAATTACAAAATAATGTTAATTTTTACTACTAATATTTTTATTTTACTCACTACGTCTGATTAAATATTGATTTAAACTACTTGAGAAAAAAAAATTTCTGACTAAATATTTATATTTACTACTGTTTTTAATGCTTTGTTCATTGTCTGACTGAATCCGATTTGTACTACTGAAAAAATTACAAAAATATATGAATAGTCTAATATTTACTTGTACTACTGATTTTTTAATATATATTTATTATGCCTGACTAAAAAAAAATTTATACTACTGAAAAAATTACAAAAATTTAGAAAGACACAGAAAATTAAAAGGCATTTAAATAAACGTTGCAGCTTATATTAATAAATTATAATTTTCTGTGGACTTACTAAATATTTACTTGTACTACTGATAAAATTCTTAAAAATTTAAAGACTGACTATTTATTTGCTATTACTACTTATAAAATTAGAAAATATTTAAACTGTCTTGATTAATTAATTTTTTACTTTTTGACAAAATATTGATATTTACTACTATTTTTTTAATTCATTATTCATTGTCTGACT